TTTCCTCCTTACGGCGGAAGTAGTCGATTCTCTCCTGCGGGATGGAGTCTCCTCTCTTCTGGAGAAGCTCTAAACACTTTCGGGTACCGAAAGGCCTGACTGTAGTAGCACCGAGCGTAGTCAAACCGCGGAAAGGAGTTTTCCCCGTTACGGATCCGCTCGAATCGGACGTTGGCCTTGGCACAAATCACGGCAGTTACTCTTGCCCGCTCCCGAGTAACCTCTAAAATCCGAGATTCTCTCAGACGAGCAGCTTCCTTGGCATGAGGTCTTCAAGCTTCTCGCGTTCAAGTCGCGCCTTGTCCAACAACAGAGTAGCCTTCTCTTCCTCAACCTTAGCCGCTGCAGCTTTCACGGACTCGAGCCTGCTCGAGATATCCTCAGCTTTCATCGCTTCGGTTTCAGCGCGACGAGTAGCATCGTCCTTCTCCGCTTCAACCCGCTTTAAACAGGTTTTCAGTGACTTGATCCGCTTCTTCCCCTCCTTAGCCTTTTCGTAAGTCTCACTTGAGTTGGCGTACGCCCTCTCAAGCTCCGAATCGTATTTATCCACGAGAAAATTGAAGCTACCTTCAGCCTGAAATACCGAGCAACGTCCAAGAGAAAGTTAAAGAGAAATGAATCTATACATATAGCAAGGCCACACCGAGAGCCGCGGAAAATACACGTAAATAAATAGACACTCACCGTTAGAAAGTTACGTGAGGCATCCGTGTAAGCGTTCGGGAAGGCTAGCTGGTCCGTAGGCGGGAGACTACGAGGACCTCCTCTAATCCGACCAACGAGCTCAGCACATTTAGGTCCGTTGGAATCAACGAAGACACATCGTCGTACGAAAAGAGGACTTTGTTAGGAAAGACTGTCTTGAACCTCCGAGTGATTGGACGATCGGTCGAAGCCGTCAAAATTCTGGGCTCCGAGACAGAGGGACCTACATTGCCAAAAGACACCACAGTAGAACCCGAAACAACCTTCACCTTTTTCTTTCTCTTGGATCTCTCCTGGGACGAAGCGTTCAACGAAGAATCCACCGATTCAGCTGGAAGACCAGGAGGGAGCTCAACACCTGCTCGACCCACGGTCGCAGCTTCCCCCACAAGAGGACAGACCCCCAATCCATCTCCTAGAACCGTAACATTACTTGCCTCAGCACCAGGCCTGCTGTCCGCCGACTCCCGAGTAAATCTCTCGGCAGATTTCTCGGTAGGCTCCTTTCTCTTGCTCCTTTTTTTTTTTAGAAGGATGGTCGGAGGCCGGCTGCTCTTCGGCAACTAGGGTACCCGGATTGTCATCCGGTTTGGAACTGGAACCGCCACCTGCCGACTTTTGTTCCGACTCCCCAGCGGATTTCTCAGCAGACTCCTTCCTCCTCCTCTTCTTCTTGGCAGGACAGTCGGAACTCGGTTGTTCTTCGACAATCGGGGGATCCTGAACGATCGCCCTTTCAGGCCGATCTTCAGGCCTCGACCCCATCTTAGATGTGTCACCAGCAGAGGGAGCAGCTGTATCGACGGGGTCGGACCCATCCAGGTTGAACGTGGTAAGAATGTTCATAAGCCCTGCTCCCGACTCTTCATCAGCCTCAACTTCGAGGGATAACTCCAGCACGCCTCTCATCCTCCGCGCTCGATTGATGGCTTTCTGTTCCTTCCTTGAAAAGAGCACTGATCGCTTTTTGTCTGTCCGGTCATCACACGGAAGTCTCGAATCCCACTCGCCTGCACAAGACGTAATAGTTTGTAAATACGCTAAGTAGAGAAGGAAGGGAAAGAACAACGTGAAATTCACTGCCTTACCGTCGTCAATACGATCCAAGTAACGACGTATCCTCACTTCGCTTATATCAGGCCACCTACGGTGTCCAAGTTCGACCAATGCGCAAGCGTTGTCGTAGAAAGAACCTGGAACTCCGGTCAAATATGGATGCGATACTGCATCGGAAAAAGAAAAAAGGTCAGAACGAGGAAAATATTTGCGAGTAACGAATAACTCTCTACCAGCTCGCCAATTCCACAACACCGAGACCCGTTATCCGGGGGATCAATGAATGAGAATTCGTTCGACTTGGCGAAGAAGTAGTATCGCTGCCAATCCGTAGTCTTCGACGGATGTCCCGTGATCACGTTGTAACTTGGTCTCATCGTGATGGAGAAGAAGTAATCATCTAGTGGTTTAATCGAAGTCAACTCCTCAAGAGCTCGGGGGCAAAGCACGACATTGATCTCAGCGGCCATCACCAGGAGCGCGACTACGAGACGGAACGCGCCGTTCACAGACTTATAGCCAGATCACGACGAGCAGCATACGAAGTTATGAGTCGCGGAATCGGGAACCAGAGCTTCGTGTCCCGCTGAAAATATGCCTCGTAGACACATTGATACCCCATCGGAGGGGTCCAAGGCCACTGGCTGTCAGTCGGGATTAAGTATGTAACCCCGACTGCGTTTAGACGTATGAGAAGGCTCTCGACCCGATCGGGAGTTGACCACGTCGACCATATGCGCCTATTTGTGTAGGTGCCGCGGAGGCGAATCAAATTCGGCAGAACCTCCACGCCCCGCTCAAAAATACCGTTCCCTAAGTAACGCGTGGGAACTGGGGGAGGACCCGCAACAGGCTGAGTCCCCCCAGAAGGCACAACGACTTGGACCCTACCAGTTCTCCTAGCATTCCGAGTCCCGCCTGTCGCTCTATTAACACGGGTCCAGGCGTTTCGCCTAATCGACTGCATTGAGGGAGCCCGATTCAGTCACGGATCGCCGAGCAACAAGGCAGCTGCATTGCCAGCACTCTCCCCCCTTAACTCCCTCTCCAAATCAACCACGAGAAGCCTTTGTGCCAAGTCAAGACTGGCCGAATCTCGCAATGCCCCCCGGTGCTCCAGCTCAAAATCCTCCAGGGGCTCACCGGTCGTTGCATCTCGTGCGACGTCTTTTCCTTTCTCTTCCCGACTTAATCGCTTTCGGGGACACATCGTGACCGGTAGTGCGTATATATCTTACAACTCTCTAGAGAGAGAAAGTAGAGAGAAGGGAGAGAATAGTACCTGATTTCGCGGAGAAGAATGAGAAGAGCTTAGGCAAGAGAGGTATATATAGGGGAAGGGGGCACGAATCTCAGAACTGCATTTATTAGGTTTATAGAGACCTAGATGGGCTTTTCCTTTCAAGACCGTTCGCATTCCGTTCTTAATGGGCCGAGTCCTATAGGAAAAGCCCATCTCTCGCGTCGACTTCCGGTCCCATACGCTTCGAACGATCACCGATTAAGAAACTTGACTCCTTCCTCATAATTACCTGACGACTTTCGCGAAGCGACGACCACCCGAACACCGAGTAAGCAGCGCAATCGCTCACACGCGACCGTCGAGTGACCCGCGAGAAACGATGACCAATCGAACACCGAGTAAGCAGCGCAATCGCTCACACGCGACCGCCGAGTGACCCGCGAGAAACAATGACCAATCGAACACCGAGTGAGCAGAAAAATCGCTCGCATGCAACCGCCAAGTGACCCACGAGTATCGGCGATACTACGTAAACACCAGTGACGAGAAAATCACTGAGCAAACTCCTAGACTCCGCTTGAGATCGGGTATCGGCTCGCAATCTCATGCCATTTTCATCACCGAGTAAAAGACTCGGCTCGCAATCATGCGTCAGCTTCATTGGCGAGTAAAGTCCTCGTGCGAAGAAGCATCCCTAAGAGTCTTTCCTTGCACCCCGAGCATCGTCAATAGACTGGGGGGACTTACTATAGGAGGTGGGCTGTACCCACCCCTCAGGGCCCACAGAAAATCATACTCAGCCCAATAAGGGACAAGTCACCGACGACTAACAGTCAATCGGTTGACACCCGAGTGGCGTCCGTACGAGTAAGGAAGTCATCCTGCCGAGTCGGGAAAAGGCCCAACACAGAGGCCAATTTAGCTACACCAACTTAGGTCAAGCTCAAGTTGGAGGATTAAGCTATATAAGGCAAAGAGGGGAGCACGAAGAGGGGATCCGAAAAATAGACTCACTAGGAGGCGAATCAGATTAGGGTTTTCTTACCTTACTTACTTTGTTATTACCGACTGGTTCGTACGTTATCTCCGGTCAAGCTCTCCGAGCACCGAGGACTCTCTTTGTACTCACTTCCCGATTATAAATAAAGCTCATTTCTTTGCTTATTATTGTTCATACCTTCACAATAACCCACCGACGAGTCCAGTCACTCACTTCACTGATATACGACCGAACTCGGTTCAAACACTCTCCTGTCCTTGAATTCCATAGCAAAATAAAAAGGGAGACACAAACAACGTTTCCTTATAAACTATTGAGCATATAGATTACAAAGAGGATAAAATGTATATTGATTTTACCAACATCTTGAGAGAATCTCTCCAACTTCTCATACATGGCCTTTGTGTTTGTGAGAAAATCTGAGACGAGGGATGTTCTTGGAGTGACTTAGCTTCTTGAAACGGTAATGGATGATATTAACAAAACCTGTGTGGATGTCGCGTCGTTGGTTTGGGGACCATCAATCAAAAGACATATGAGAGATTAAAGATTGGTAAAACTCTAAGACTAGGACCATTGTTTGAGTTTATTTTCTGTTACAAGACAATGTATTTTCTTTCACTGTACTAAAATAGCTTTGAGCTCTATATTACTCCACATGTTTCTAGTGTTTTTAGGCCTTTTAGTTCTGTTTTGTGTAGCCAGAATCTTATTCTCTATGCATGTACGTTATGTTTTTGCAAGGTTTAAGAAACTGTTTTACTCAAGGCTATTTAACATAAGAATATATATAAATTGACTCTTAAGGTGATTAGTTGTTTCTCACTTTTATTGGATATCTAACATATTGTAAAGTAAGGGATTGCCAAAGAATATTGTTCTAAAACCCAAGTTTACAAAAAAAAAAACACTAGATAAGAAAAGCAGCATAATAGTCTAAATAGGCTTTTTATATTCTTGGTGTTCATGCATATATGAAGAAGATTTTATGCATCAAACCATAACATTTAGACAATTCAGCACCACGCGATGACCAACCAGGACCTGGCCACAGTACTCCACTTTACCCCAAATTTCTCCACCTTGACGTCTTTCTAGCGATATCTCCACACACCAATGCTCCATACTGCATTTTACATCTCTTCCTCTACGATAATTTATGCCTTTACTATAAAACAAAGCAAGATTCCCACCATAATCTGCAGTGTGCTCAAACTGCAACTTTTTCATCCTAGAAAACAGCTTTTTCAAACCTTTCACCACTCCCAAACACCTCCGCTTTAGATCATACGTTTTTATATATTTAACATCATAAAAATAGTCGTCAGGGTAGTAGTATAACATGTCATCAATAACACATGCGGAACGCAACTTTATGGAACGCAGCATATCATCCGGTCTCCATATATTTTCCTTTGGGTCGTAAACATAGGTTTGAGAAAACTCCCTCATATACATCTTATTAGCCATCACCACCCTCTGATTCAAAAAATCAAAGCTCCGGCGCTCATCATGCAGCTCGATGTCTGGCTTTAAAATCTCAGGCTCCCACACGTTTTTTGTTGTATTGAATAACACTATTACAGTCTTTAAGTCATCCAAGCATCCCAGTACGTAAATTTTCTCTTCGGCGATAGCAGCATTTGTATTAGACATGAGAACAGGCATGCTGGAGAGGGGTTTCACCGTGTGAGATCTACAGTCTATGCTATACGCACCCCTTTTAGTAGTCCCACTACCAAACACGTATATCTTCGAGCCCACCGCTACAAAGCTCTCATCGTATGTCAGAGGGGGAGCCCACCGCTACAAAGCTCTTATCGTATGTCAGAGGGGGAAGTGAAGGGATACGGACCAAGCTGCGATGATTACTGTTGGCTTTCGGCCGGATTATATAAAAATGGCGAAGATGGTTTTCTCCCTCAAGGAGAACAATGTAGAGGCAGTGTTCAGTGCAGCCCGACAAAGAGCGCGTTGCGTATAGCTCAGGCGACCCAACGAGTGACCGGAACTGCTTGGAAACGAGGGAGAGTGTTGGATATTCCCATCTGGACACACGCGCTAAGATGTCAATGATGACGTCTTCTGGAAGCGACAGAATCAGAGACGGTGGTCTGATGATGAGTCCTCCTTCTCAGCCATAGTTTTGGATGACATGTGTAGGTCTACAACGATCGAACAGGGAAGGGAAAGTGAAAAACCCTAAGTTCTCCTTATCTTAGTTCCAAAGAGTTCCGATCTGATATTGAGACAAGAATGGAGAACAACGATGGCAGCTTAGACTTTCCGACGAACACAACTCAAGGTGCAACGGGTGACGGCGCGTCTCTCTCTCTCTCTCTCGCCACCTTTGGCTTTTCTTTTGGGGGGGGGGGAGGGTGGGGAGAAGAATGTATATAGCCTATATAGGTTTAAAAACATGTATAGTTTCATAAATATTTTTATCAAAACTTTTTTATTTTGTAAAGAATAATAGGAAAATTGCCAAAAAGGACAAAATACCAATACTATTATCCTCTTAGAACAAATCAACTTTTGTCTTATTTGGACATTCATTACTCCTTTTGGATATAAAAAATTATATTAATTTTTTACAACGAAAAAAATATGGAAAATAGTAAACTTGATGTAGATAAGCATGTTCATATAAGAAACATAATTTTATATTGAAAAAATGTTTAAATAGTAAATTCAAAAATAGAGTCAAGGTGTTAGTAAGTAAGATCTACCATCTATGACAATGTAGAAAATGTAATCTAACAGAAATACAAAGTTCTAAACACCTTAGGAAGCGCAATATACAGTGAAACCTCTATAAATTAATAATGTTGGGACTACACCAGAATTTTATTTTTTTTATTAATTTGGAGAGATATTAATTTATAGATATACTAATTGAACTAAAAACTCAATTTGGAACTGTAAAATTATATTAATTTACAGAGATATTTAGTGTATATTAATTTATCGAGTATTAATTTATAGAGGTTATACTGTACCATAAACAAACATAAATACTAGATCAGACTATGTATTCTACCAAAACCTCTATGGTCTACATTTTTGGTAGATAATAAGTCATAATTAACAACCTTTTACAGTAAAACCTCTATAAATTAATAATGTTGGGACTTTAAAATTTTATTAATTTATAGGGATATTAATTTAGAAAACTTTCCTTATTTAGTTTTTATTTTATTTTAAATAAATTTATTCTAAAATAAGAAAAATATTTGATTTTACTATATAATTATTAATTATTATTTTTTAAAAATTTGACATTTATATCAATTTTATTATATTATTTTGTGTATATAATATATATTGCATAGAATCTAAATGTGGTTTAAGACATAATATTACCAAATATCATCAAAAATATAATAAGTGTTAAGAAAATATAAAGAGTATTCCATTATGAATATAAAACAAACAATATAATGATATGTTCTTACTTATATAAAATGTATACATATAATTATTAATCTATAATTTTAATGGGACCATATATTTACATAGAGTTCTTTTAAAAAATATTATCTTATTATTTTATCGATTTGTGTCAAATTTTGAACCGGTCCAAGTTGGGACCGACAAAATTTATTAATTTATAGAGATTATTAATTTATCGAGTATTAATTTATAGAGGTTCTACTGTATCTAGCATGGTGGGAACACATTCTTCCTAATTTCTTTTTATCTAGAATCGTGGTTTACCATATCATACTATTGTACATTGTCTACCTTCTACACTGGTAGAGTGTAAGTTCTAGAAAATATTTTAACAAGATCCGAAAATCTAACAAAAACGATTATGAAATATTTACTAAATCTTTTAAATATTTTTATTTCTTTTTTTTTTTAATTTCTTTCCAAAGATTCGAAAGAATCGTGTGTTGTTCATCTTTAGCACACGATTTTTGGGCATCGACTCTTGTTCTTCTTCTTTTTCTTAGTGATTTGAATCCCTAAAACATTAAAATTCACATCTACGCTTCATGTGGTTTGTGGAAATCGTCGATAAACTGTGGATGGCGCTTTCTTGTTGATGAAGAAAAACGAGGCAGGTTACTTACTTTGGACACATGTTCAACCTTTGACAACCTAAAGGATAATGTGTGTGAAGACTTTGAAATTGATCTGAACATGGTCAATTTAGAGTTAAGTTACATACCTTCGGATTTGATCAATAGCATCGACTCACCACCTGTTATCATCACCAACGATGGACAAATGATAAATTTTCTTAGTTATGTGAAGAACAAACCTTCAACGCGGATGTGTGTTAGTATTCAATCTAAGCTGGAGAAAACCAATAACAGAGGCGATTTTGACTTAAATGAAGAAGCGGCTGACTCTAACAGAGACGAAGATCCTATGAATATTGACGATTCAGATGATATGGATTTCGAAGCAGATGTTGAAGTAGATGACAGTGATGACGACAAAAAGTGGGCCATAGAGAAGAGCAATGGAAATGGTGTTCAATTTTCTTTGGTGGATGTCGCGAAGAAGGCTCAACATTTTAGTTCCAAACGCTTTTCAATGCAGCATTCAAAATATCTGTTATGAAACATAATTTCGAGTATAAGGTTGTCAAGTCGGATATAAAAGTGTGGTACATTCGTTGCTCAGATGATGGTTGCAGTTGGCGCGTTGATATTAAGACTTTTCAAGGGTCCTAATCAAATGATGTAGTATAAGAGATGTCGAACCAGTTCTAAGTGATCCTAAAGCAAAGGGAATGCAAGACCATGCTCAATCTAAGTGCAACTAATAAGTGAGATGATATTGAACTATAATACTACTAAAATGCAATAAAGGGATGATCTTTCTTTTTTCAAAATGAAGGAAGAGGACTCATGGGACTAGACATTTGATCTTGGGTGATGTAGATCCAATCCTAAGATGGCAAGCTAGCAATCATACACTTTCCTTATGCCTAAACACAATCCTAAATAAGCTCTATCTCTAGATGAATGTTGTTTTACTAAAGCAACTCAAGCATCTAATCTCTTAGGTTGAATGTTACTAAAACAAACATGGAGAACAAGTCTAATAGCAATCTTAACTTCTTTAGCAACTAATCTCTTAGGTAAAGCAAGTTAAAAGCATTGAAGAGTTGGTTCAGGCATTTCATCATACACCTTGTGGGCAGGAAATCCTAGAGATCCATTTTAGTATGATCAAGACTAAAATGGCATTGAAAACCCTCAACAAGCAAGGAAACAAGTAAATCTAACACTAAACACCCTAGATCTTCTCTAATCACCCTTAATCACCCTAGCCCATGAATCCAAAAGGAGTTTACTCACTAATCTTCATGATTAACCTTAAACTCATGGTTGATTTAAGAGAAATCATGTTAATAAACAAGTTAAATCAAACAATCACAAAGAAATAAAAAGGAAAGAAACTAAAGATTCAATCTTTCTTCAAGGTTTTAATGTGTTCTTAGAGAGAAAATAAGAAAATCATCATTAGGGTCTAAAATGTATTTATAGGGTTCTTAAAACCCCTAATGGGCTCAGTCAACAAACTGAACATGCCCAACAAAACATAAAAATCGTCTAAGGAACAGTGCTGGAGCTGGTGTGATGGGTCACTGCGCTACTCCGCTCTAGGACGCGCTCAATGTACAGCGGGTGTGATGGGTTGCTCCCACTAACCCGCTCTGGCACTTGGAGAATTTAATTTCCCGGGTGTGTCATGTCCAGAGCAGGGTACCTTGGCCGCAGCGCCTATCCGCTCTAGGAAGCGTTTGATGTGGAGCGGCTCGTCCTGGTCACTCTGACGGGTCGCTTTGGCATTGCCCCATAGCTCAAAAATGCAGAGCGGGTGATGCACGTCGCTCCATGCCCACAAATGCTCTCAAATACCTCCAAAACTCCATAAGGGTACTCCAATACCTAATAAAGATATATGCAATGAAAATGTAACCTAATAATGCCTAAATGCTAATCTTAAGGATCAGTTATATACATCAAATGATAGCTAAAATCATGAAAATTCATAAGATAACACGCGTTCGAGCGGAGGGTTTAATAGGTTCATTGTATTTCATCATCAAAAATTATGTACCTATTCATTCATGTGATTCATTGAGAAGGAACAGTTCTGTTCGTTTAGCTTCAGCCAAAACTGTTGGTACTCTGATTATGCATAAGTTTGAAACTGCTAAAGAAGGGCCGAGATCCAATAATGTAATCGACTATATGCGTAATGATCATGGAGTTGAGATTTCGTATTCTTTGGCGTGGGATGCACGGGATATCAATCAACGCAGTCTTATGAAACGGATGCCAAAGGGAAAAAGGTTATGAAAAAATTCCCAAATACTTGCACGTGATAAAGAAAGTTAATCCAGGGTCAAACACGTCTTATGAAATGGATGCCAAAGGGAGATTCAGATTCCTATTCATCTTGTTTGGTCAGAGTCTTCGTTGTTTCTATGATGCAATTCAGAAAGTCATTGTCATGGATTGGACGTTTTTGAAGAGCAAATACAAAGGAGTATTACTGGTTTCTACTGAATTAGGTGGAAACTCGAGTTTATATCTTATTGCATTCAGAGTTGTCGACTCAGAGAATGACCTCGCTTGGGATTGGTTTATGAGACAACTTAATGTGGTCATTGCTGATGACCATAAATTATCGTTTGTGTCTGATAGGTGTACCTCAAATACTAAATCTATTGCGACACTATACCCACAAGCTCATCATGGAATTTTCATTCATTACTTTCTAAATAATGTTGTAACAAATAGCGGTGGGAAAGGTGTGGCTGTTTTGGTTGCAAAGGCCTATAAAGCTTATCGAGCTGCTGATTTTTGTAAGCTATTCACTGCCGTTTACTCTATTAATCCTGACATTGGAGATTATCTCATACTAGCCGATGTGAGGAAGTGGGCTCGTTGTCAATTTATGGGTTACAGGTATGATATTAGGATTACTAACCCAGCAGAGTCGATAAATTCTGCTTTGAGAACGCCTAAAGAGTTTCCAATAATATCTTTATTGGACAGCATTAGGGAAATGATGACTAGATGGTTTTTCGAACTCTAAGTTCTAAGCACTCGAAGCCACTGACCATTTCTGTTGAGAAGAATATGACAGAAGGAATGAGAAAGGTAAAACGTTTAAGGTCTTCCCAGTAAGTGATGACATGTTTTTGGTTCGAGGTGATAGTATTGACTGTATGGTTGACTTGGTCAGACGCACATGTTCTTGTGAGAAATTTGATCTAAAAATCCCATGGAGACATGCCATAAAAGCAGGCTTCAGTGTTGGAATAAGACTACACACTCTCACTGACGACATGTACACTACTGCGTCATGGTACTCGGCTTATGAAAAAAGCATAAATCATATTTATGTCCTTGAAGATGCATGGATTGTTCCTTCTGATGTAGAACAGTCAAAATTCCTTCTTCCAAGAGTAAACGAGCTGCATGTAAGAAAAATAAACGCAGATACGAGACAGTTGAAGATAAGATCCGTTCGTCACAGGGAACGCAAGGCTCTAAAGTTCGGAAATGCAGTCGATGTGGGCTTCAAATACACGATCGAAGAAGATGTGATACACCAATATAGGCGTGTCAAAGCGTATGATGCAGTTTATGTTTCACAGAATATGTGTTTTGTTCATCTCGGTTTATGGAACTTATCTTTGAAAGACTACTGTTTTTATCTCGTTTATGCAAGTTATGTTTTGAAGACTATGTGTTAAGCTCATGGATTCTCGGTTTATGCAAGTTAGGTTTGAATGAGTAGTTCTTTTGTTTAGCTCCAAAGAATGTGTTTTGTTCTTCTCATTGATGCAAGTTTTGTATTTTTAAAATGATAAAAAATGGTATATATAGTGGCTACAATTTCCCGTTATCAACCTGGGTTTGAAGCCCCAGATATACAAAGAATGTGTTTTGTTCTTCTCGTTGATGCAAGTTTTGTATTTTTAAAATGAAAACAAGTGATATATATATTTATAGTATCGAAGTATACAACGAATGACAAGTACTCTGGTGGTAGAAGTGGCTATAATTTCCCATTATCAACTTGGGTTTGAAGCCCCAATATACAAATCCATTTTTTTTACGCAATGTTAAATATGCTTAATCCAATACCGATCCAAACTGGTCCATCTCGCTGTATTATCCAACTCGTAGTTTAACAATATAATTCTATGATTTATTTTGACAACTTTTCAATAATTGACAATAAAACTGCAAATCATCTTGGTTCATTATTCTTTGACAATGTAACTTGAATCATAGAGCAATACGTATCAATCGCGTTTGGAACAGAGACATAAGACACTGAGAATGGATCCTACACAACCTACATCGAGTGAATTCTTATGCTTCAAAAATTCTTCCTGCTTTGTCTTCATGGAACTTCTGAGTTCTTCAAATTCCTCGGCAATTATGGACTGATGATCATCCAACCTTTGAATATCATCCAAAAAAGCCTCGTCGACCCGCTTAAAAGATGATTTTTGTTCTTTCCCTGTTTCAAAACAAAGGAAAAAGGTCACTCATCGAGATCGGTTGGAGTTTGTTCGCGACGGCCTAGATCGCGACGGTCGACGCTGCCTGATCCCAGGATCATTCAATATCTCCGCAACAACGTTTCCTGCACCGTCGCCTCTGAGCTCTCTCTTGCTATCTACAACCAAGAGTCATTGAGACAAGCTGATACTTTCCACATCCATTAGTGCATCCCGATGCACTAAATCGAAATCCTCTAAAGGTTCGTTGGTCACCTCGTCCCTAGCAGGGCTCGACGAAGTCGCAATGTCCTTCCCTTTCTCCTCTCGCGTTAGTCTCTCTTGTGGGCACATCTTACCGATAGTATACGTATATATCGTACAACAACTTAGAGAGAGAAAGTAGAGAGAAGGGAGAGAGAAGGGAGAGAGAAGGGAGAGAGAAGAATACTTGTAGCGGCGAAGAAAATAAAGAAGATAAAATGGAGAAGAGTATATATAGAGGAAGAGAGACGCGATTCCCAAAGTCATCATTAGGTCTATTAAAACCTAGTTGGGCCTCAATTTCTCGCGACTCTTCATGTTCTAATGGGCCAAAGTCTCTCAAAATTCACATTTACCCATGACTGTTCATATTCTTGCAGCGTCAGCTCAGTTCGCTCAAGCAGCGAGTAGATGACTCTAATGTCTGGTAAGGTAAGCTAACGAGCAGACAACTAGGTTACTGAGTCAAGGCGAGCCAACGAATGAATGATTCCACACTCTTCAGGTGCTTGTCTCGACAACCAACCCAATACGAGCAAACGACTCAACTGTCTGGTGAGATAAGCTGACGAGCAGACAATTCGGTTACCGAGTCAAGGCGAGCCAACGAATGAACGATTCCAAACTCGTCAGGTGCTCATCTCGGCAACCATACCAATACGAGCAAACAGGCGAACGATCCTACCGAATCATCACGTGCCCGTCTCAGTAATCGTATCCGGGGAAATCTTCGCGTTTCCGATCATGTTATTCAGTGAACCAAATCTACTAAAATCCGTTCCCAAGCTGCCGAGAAACTCGACAACGGACTGGGGGAACTTACTGTAGGAGGTGGATTGCCCCATCCTTCAAGCCCCACCGAATAACAGGAGCGGCCCACTTAGGAGTAATCCATGTCAGCCCAAGCTGATCGCACCTCGGCCCGGCCTCATTTGTAGATCAATTCTCTCATCAATAAAATTACTCTTCCTCTCATAAATAGTAAAACGCCTTTGAAATAACCCAACGACGAGTCCAGTCACTCTCTTACTGATATAAGACCGAACTCGGTTCAAACGAGAACATCCAATCTTTTTGCATTGCCTAAGCGTAAGTGTGTAGATTACAAGGAATTTAGAAAAGAACAGAAAAGTTTAAAAAGCTTGGATAAAATATAAAAAAAGAACAGAAAAGCCTATGAATAGAAGAAGAATTATCTCTAGCATCGGTCTCCATCGGCTTATCAGTCCCGACAGGCGTGTCCGCAGGATTATCGCCAATAATCAAGTTTTCAGATTTGTTATCACCTTGAGTTTTTGGTTTACAACGCAGAGTATTACTCCTAGAGTAGACCTTTACACCAAGTGCGTCTTCAACAGCCCTGATCTGCAAAACATGCAAAATACTAGTTAGTTATTTAGACTCAAATTATAACTAAATATAAAGAACCACAATAGAAAACATGAATGTATCTCTTGAACAAACCGCAGGCGATCTCCTAATGGGATATGATCATCAATTCAGCACTATAAGGGTCTTTGTAAATACGGTTGCAGGAGTAGGCCAGAGAGGCATGGGCGCTGGCTCTGGGCTCACTGAGTATCTGAAACAAAGTCCCATGTATTGTTTTTGGTCTATTAGAGTTATAAAATGTTAGCAAGAAAGGATTATGACAGTTTTTTTTTCCTGCAGAAACCTCACTGATCATGAGATGGGCATGGACCCAGAGGTAAGCAAAGTAACTGAGAATACACCTCTCAAACTCCTCAACGAGCTTAATGAAGCGAGAATTAATCAGCATCAGGCTCTTCAGAGAAGAAGCTGTATCTGATTTCCTTATGTACTTTCATTGGCTAATTTGCAGAGATGAGACATTCTCTTCCTTGAATCCCATCTGCCGCACTGGGCCAAGGAGAAAAAAAAAACCATTTCCTTATAATCTATTGATCATTGAGACTTCAAAGAGGATAAATGTAGATTGATTTGACCAACGTAGTGAGAAAATCTCTCGAGCTTCTCATGGGGTTTGTGTTTCTGAGAAAATTTAAGATTAGGGATGTTCTTGGAATGCGAGGAATAATAACAAGCCAATGGATGAGATTACTAAACCCTGTGTGGAGTTTGTTGATGTTGACATTCCTAACTACAATTATGACTTTAAGAAGGCCATAACGCTGTTCAATACAAAGACACAAATGTGGGAGCCTGAGCTTTTAAAGCCAGATAGAGGGACAAAAAAGGAGCAAGGTTGGCGCCCGTCTAGTCTGATTCGAGTCAAACGCTCAGGTACTCCTGCCCGAAAAAAAAGAGCTGAGATACTCCTGCCTGAAACTGACAGGATTTGGAATTTAATATATCTTTATTTAAATCAGAAAATTTATTAAAAGAGCATGAAACCAACAGAAACTTAGATAATTACAATTCTACCTATGACTATCCAAACCCGGACCCTGAACCGACCCATAACAATCAGATACCCACTTCCAGATTTTGAATTCCGGAATAGGTTTCCTCTTATTGATTGAAAATTGGAATGAGGGTGAAAAGAAAATAATAAATGTAACTTGTAAAAATAAAGATTAGGTTTCACTAATTGCTCCTAATTTCTCCCTTTATCGACCGTTCGCACAAATCGAAATTCTGAAAATCCTAGTAAAAAACAAATCATGTTGAATCGAGACGATTCAAAGTCAAAACAAGACGTCTCGAGTAGTGTAGGAGGAGATGACACGGCTATGGTTATATTATCCGGAGATGAAGCAAACCCAAGCCGCATCGACAAATCTGTTGTCCCGGGAACCGACGAAAAAGAGAAGGAAACCGTAGACGAATGAGAAAAAGAGAAGGAAGCCGTAGACGAAGAGAATAAAGAGAAGGAAACCGTAGACGAAGAGAAAAAAGACAGAGAAGAAGAGAAGGAGCCAAAAGAAGTGGAAGAGGAAATGGAGCCCCGGAGAAACGATGAAACAGTGATAATTGTACGACCACATGGAACTGAGTCGCATGCAGAGTCGGTAAGTAGGAAAGATGATTTGAAGAGATTAGATAATTGTGGAAAACTAAGTGCAATTTAAGTTAGTGTAATTTGGAGAAACAAAGTGAAACTTATAATGCGTTGATGACTTTGCGAATCTGAGTGGAACTGCAACAATATAGATGTACGAACCTTGTGAAATCAAAAAAAAAAACTTTAAATGAGTGATTGCTGAACTAAGTCAAAGTTTGTGAAACTATATGTTGATGGTTGTAAGATGTCGTATGTGATCCGGTATTCACTTGAGTGCAGGTTGTTGATGACAAGCATGAAGGCATGCAACCGCTGAAGTTTCAATTTCCTTCAAGCCAGTATCAAAAGTCTTTAAAGCTTTCAGGAAAATGTTACATTGACACTTGCATAAGAAATATGCAAACAATCCTGAAAGAGAAGGAGATGGTATGGTTTATAGAGCACCCACAGTTCCAACATTTCTTCCATATCAAAAACCGAAAGCAGAGGTGGATGGGACTGTGGCTTCTCGTTTTTCGATCAGCTTGTGTAGCAAAGAAAAATGAGTTATGGTTTATCGTTAATGGTGTCCCAATCAGATACTCGCTCAAAGAATTAGGACTCATTTCTGGACTATACTGCCATGAGTATCCCCCCAACCATGAGAGGTTGGGTGGTACAGCATTCATGAACAAGTATTTTGGAGGGAAAAGGGTAACATACGCTGACGTGGAGAAGCAGATGTTGTCAATGAAATCAAAGCCATCTGAGGATCGTAAGAAGATGGTCGTTCTGTACTTATTAGCCAGCATCCTCGTCGGAGGCCGAAAGACTGGTGACGCAGCATCACCTGTGGACAGTTTCTTCCTGAATGTTGTTGATGACCTAGATGCGTGTTTAACGTTTCCTTGGGGGCGGTATGTATTCGAACATAACTTGAAGGATGTCTTTAGGTTCTTGGAGAAATCCGACGGGCTTGCGCCAACGAGTTGGGTTTTTACAAGCTTTCCTATTTCATTTGGAGGTATTTTTAAGCTCTCTTGTACTTAGTTGTGTTATTGTTAAATTGATGTTAATGTTTATTTGTTATGTGTTCGTAGTTGTTGGCCTTTGAGGCAATCCCAAGCTTAAAGAACCATTTCTGAGAAAATGTGATTGGTGCACGCCCTTATTGCCCGCGGATGTGCAAGATGGAGTACAAATGCAAAAGTGGAGCCAAGGAATTCAGTCTGAATTCTATGAACGATAAACTTGGTACTGATACAAAGGTGAGATAATTGTATTAATTCGACTGATGAAAACTTGGTGAAATCATGAAAACTTGGTGAAGGGACTTATGAGACTTATGAAAATTTGATGAAATTAAGGCACTTAATGTTTTTTTGTGTATTTGTCACAGGATATTGAGAGTATCTTGGTAGCAAAAACAGCTGAGAAAGAACTTCTGGAAACCATAGGGATGGACAAGGAAAGTTGTTGGACCGATGATTCCATGCAGCAGTTGATCGTTGGTCGAAGATATTACAGAAAGGCTCGACACAAGTTTTCTTTGAAGAACAATTTTGCATCGATTGTGATGCTCGCACAGTAAAGCTTAAAGGTCCTACCAATACTATCGGAGGACCATCGAATAATGCGCAATCTGGTAAAACTCATGCAGATTCGGTGGAGGATACTGGACCTGAGGCTTTAAAAGCGATGGACGGTCGGCTTATGAAAGCAGTCGAAGATGCTGTGAAGGATGCTATGAAGGATGCTGTGAAGGATTTGAAGAAAACAATCTCTTCATTGTCTGACAAGCTAACTCTTCTAGAAGACGAAGTGAAAAGTCTTAGGTCGAGTGGTGATAATCCGTCGGAGGAGAATAAGGACTCGGACGAAGAGGATGATGTTGATAAGGCATTGGAGGAAGAGGATGGTGGTGATAAGGAGAGTAAGGTGTTCGAGGAAGAAGATGACGTAAATAATTACATTCGCGATGTTACAAACGAAGTACAGAAGGAACATGGTGATGTTGATGATAACATGGATGCAGATGCTGCACAGATGATTGGTCATGCTGAGAAGCATGAGAAGGCAGAGGCTGAGAAGGCTGAGGCTGAGAAGGATGAGAAGGCAAAGAAGAAAAAAAGAGGGGGAGAATAGATGATGGAAAAGAAGCAGAGCCTTCAAAAAAGGCAAAGGGTTTAGGAAAAGTGAGGAATCCCGTTAATACAAGAAGCATGGGTTTTGGGGGTGAGAAGGGAGCGAAGGAGGAGGCAGCGGATGAGGATGCAGCGGAGGAAGAGGCAGCAGAGGAAGAGTCAGCAGGGAAGAAGAACAGAGGTGCAAAGAAGGCAGCTGAGAAGAAGACAGCAGCTGAGAAGGAGCCAGTTAAGAAGGCAGCAACTAAGAAGGCAGCAGCTAAGAAGGCAGCCCAGAAGAAGCCACCCCTGAAGCCAAAGAAGAGTAAGACAAACAAGGTAGGTAAGTAGACGGAGTGAAATCCATTTGTAGTTGTTTTAATGTGGTGAACTCTATTCGGTTTGTATGACATATTTGAATTTCCGTATGACTTGCATGTTTGTTGTTTAAAACTTAAGTTATTTAAGACTTGTGTGTTTTTAAGACGAGATCTTTTAAGACTTAATCAAACTCCAAAAAGAGGGAGATTGGGAGAAACTTTCAAAGTTTCACTTTCAACTTAATCTAACTTCGTAAACCTAACTTACTTCGAAAATCTCGAAAAGAGGGAGATTGAGAGAAACTTTCAAAGTTTCACTTTCAACTTAACTTCTTTCGAAAACATAACAATCTAACATAGGATGAGTTGAATGCCGAGTTCATAACGAATAGTTCATAACGTAACTGAAATAGATAGATGTTCGGGTGAACATAACATATAATCCATAACTACATTAGATGGGAGATTGGTAAAAGAGGAACAATCCGAATCTCATGGAGTGGTAGGATTCGGACGGGTAAGCTTATACTTCAGTTCATACTTCAGTTCGGCAATCTCCTTATCCATCGCATCCACACGCTTCCTTAACATTTCAACCTCTTCATGAACTCTGAAGACCCATGGTTGACGGAAATGGAAGCCATCATTCTACACGTGAAACGGAAAAGTATCAAAATCTGCACATAAATAAAACCCGAAAGTATCCATAAATTACCTCGAAATTTTTGCAAGTGAAGTATTTTCTCCCCGGTAAAGTATCAAAATCAGTTGGATACTACGGGTCCCGAGACACCTCGTTCATGATTCTACCCCCACAAGGGCATCTGGTCGGAATCCCACACTGGGCATCTGCCACAAAGCCACGCATGTCGAATTCTCTCTTCAAGGCCTTCATCTCCCTATACTCCTCGTCTGGATGAGTCATGATTTTGAGTAATCGAGAATTCTAGAAAGAAGAGGGACATAATACATATCTGAGTTCTCACCAAATCAATCTAGAGAGAGAATGAATAAATGGGTGAAACAGAAAAACAATGGGTTTAATACACGTCTATGTCGATTTTGGGGAAACTCGAAAATCGAAAAGCTGGGTGGAAAAATTCAAAAAGCTGGGCGAGAAAAATTTGTAAATGATTTCCGTGCTTAAAGTTTCACTTGGTATGTAGTTATACAAAAACCTTTTAAGTTTTACTTTTCTGTTTTTTGTGATTTTGTTGGTTTTACTGTACTTAGATGATTAATTTTATGGTTATACCAGATATATTATGTTTTATATGAACGTTTTAGATGTGTCACTGTAGAAAACAATTTGTTTTCGTGCACAATGTAGTGTACACAAAAAAAAAATCTAACAATGATGTATTCTGTTCCCAATTGATAGAAAATGTGATTCAGATTATAAAAAAATTTCAGTCCACGTGATACGGATCTCAGAACATGTTGAATAAGTTACGTCATATTCCTTAAACATGATTAAGTAATGTCATCGCAGGTGTAATTACTCCAAATCAACAATAATATAACATAAGTTTCACCAAGTTTTACAATTATATATCGCAATAACTTTAATTAGGTTTCACCAAGTTTCACATTCACATAACGCATGTTTCCACAAAGTTTTTAAAGATTTCCTCTAGTTTCACCAAGTATTACACCCACAATCAACTCTTGTGTTCCCTGTCTTCCTTATGTGCCTTGAGTGCCTTGAGTGCCTTGAGGGCCTTGAGTGCCTTGAGTGCATTGAGTGCCTTGAGTGCCTTGTGTTTCTCGTGATCCTTGAGTGCCTTGTGTTTCTCATGATCCTTGAGTTTCTTGTGTTCCCCGTGATCCTTCTGTTCCTTGACTTCCCTGAGAGCAGTTGAAATAGCTTGCCAAGACAATATTCGGTTTATACTTACTACGACGGGGACGTGGACGACTTTCTCCTGCCGAAGGAAACCTGTTTTCTTGATGTCTTCCTTTTTTCAAGTATTATGGAGGTAAGGGACACTTATCCGCGACTTCTTTTGGAACCATCCAATCAGACATATAAGGGACTGGATATACAGTATTTCGATACGCCAAAGCCCACACTTTAATGAAGTAATAATCCGAGATGAAATCATACATGTCACTCACCTGTATTGGTCTATCATGCTTCAAACACTTAATGATAGCGCCTATTGCATGTCTACATGGGTATTTATCTATATCAAACTTCCTGCAACTGCACGTATTCTTGTGCAAATCCACCAAATAAGTCTTCCATCTTCTCCAATAACACGGTATTCAAGCTGAAAAGTGTTCAACGGAATCACATCAAGTCTTGAACCTTTCGGTGTTCTGTCATGGATTTTGTTCTCCACTAAAGGAACCAATTTTCGAGATGCCGGTCCGGCTGCTCCATCCTTCCTATGTCCGTTGAACCACTCAGCCATTTTGTCAATAATTGTATCAAGCATAGGCAATAAAGACATGCTTCGCGCCTTTTTAAATAACGCATTCAAAGACTCCGCACAATTAGAGGTGTCTATGTTGTACCTTGCACCGGGGAAATGACACTTCACCCAATTTTTGACATCGGCAGTTTCATCAACATACCTACCACACGCTGGATACCTCTCCCTAAAATCTTGCATTGCATTTCAAACTCATGCTCTGAAGAAAGACATGCAATTTTTCTGAATTGTTTCGCAACTTCGTCCCTCCCATGTCTAACATGACCTTCACATTGTGCGATAGATGCCAGATACAATACCCATGTTTAGACAGTGGATACACTTCAGCAACAGCTTTTATCAGACCTGCATTTCTGTCTGAAACAAACACCAATTCCATCGAGTCTGAAATAACAGTTTTCAGCGTCATGAAAAACCAATTCCAGCTTTCTTTTTTCTCCCCATCAACGACACCAACAGCTATTGGATACTGGTGAAGGTTTGGATCATGAGCCGTGGAAATAACTAAAAAACCACCTTCTACAGTCTTCAGGAAAGTTGCATCCACAGTGATGACTTTTCTCATGAATTCAAACCCTTCAATGGATGCTCCCAACGCAACAAATAGGTATTTGAACCGCTTGTGTTCATCCAGTAACAAACTTGTTTTTGTATCCGGGTTCACCTTCTCTAACATATACAAATAAGAAGGCAATATTTTGTATCCTTTCTTGGGATCACCACGCAAATCCGCAACAGCTTGATTTTTTCCTCTCAAACATGTCGTATACGACACTTCCACACCCAATTTCCTTTTCACCAGACCGAGCAGGGTTTTCGCACTTGGTGTCTCATATAGTCCCGAATAATCCTTATGCACTATAGATGCAACACATCTTGGGGTAACTTTCCTTTTGACTCCAGTACATGAAGTTGCGCGAGAGCATGAATGCATCTTCATGTATGTTCTAATCGTGAACACTTCAGAATTATTTATCTTAGTAACTCTCATACCCCATTTACAACCTTCATCTGCTAACCGACTTTTCACCACATATCGACTCTTGTCCGAGTTGGAGATACCAATTCCGAAACAGTTTAGCTGTGATGCTCTATCAATCATATCTTTCACAGCTTCTTTACTCGGAAATTCTTGAAACAACTCAATACCCAAACCATCTTCCCACTCTTTAACTACTAGAATTTCTTTTGCAACACGTGGGACCTCAACATAGTCCCAAACAAGATGAACACCCATGGAGTTATCCATGTCACCCTCATTGTCAACGATGTTTTCCATACCAATTCCCCCTTCACCGGCTTCTCCATTAACAACATTAATTCCTCTTTAGTCGGCTTCTCCATTAATAACATCAATGCCCCCTTCCTTTTCCTCTGCTTCTCTAGTAACAAAATTCTCCACCCCTTTAGCCCCTAGTAGATATAGTTTTGCTTCTTCAACTTCGGGTAATCCACTCGCAAGCTCACTATAGTTCCCACCATATGAGCTTTCTTTCTCAACTACTGATTGTTGCTCTATTACTGGAACTATTTCCATTCCTTCGATGACCTCTACATGCAAAATACTTCTTCTTCCCTCTTTATCCACTGATGTTAGATACACAAACACATCTTCATCATCCAAAATATATGATTGCCTCTTAGGTTCTATTACCAGTGGAATGTAACTCAGATTCAGCCTCTTTAAAAATGGATCTATGTTCTTCTTCTTGCATATCCTCTCCTTCAAAAACAAATGAGTGATCTCATCCAGTGATGATGTCTTAAAGGATATACCATACAAACGACCATCGCTTGGAATCCATTCATAATCATCACCAGATTTCGCATAATGTCCATCATAGTCAAAGTCTATGTTTGTAGAAGAATAACCCATTATCTATTGTACCAAATAAAAATTATACAATTAAAGTTAATCTTAGTTATACAGTTTTGCTATTGAAGTAATAGTAAGTTATACCCTTTTACACATTTTTGTTAAGAGTAAAGTTTCAACACTTTTATAGTATACCAGTTTCAACTAATCACCTAATTACACTTTTATAGTCTACCAGTTTCACCCTATTCATTTCGGAATTCAGCTTTGATTCCCGACATTTCTGGTTATTAATCCAATTCCATAACAAACACACCATCCTACTCCCAAATCTTTCCCGTTCTCCCCTAATCGACAACCCAAATATTTGATATCTATTGTATCCCAACCTAACAAGCAGCATTTCATTCGACTCGACTGGTTATAAGATGAATTACGGACCAAGATAATGCTTTACCTGAAGTTTTATTTGACCTGAGTTGGGGATTCATTGATTCAGCATCCAAGCGAGCCGCAGCCTTTACAAATGAAGGTTCGAACGAAATTGAGGAGTGACTAGAGCAGAGCTTACTTCGACAAGCCAAACCGGAAGAGAAGAAGAAACTCAGAGAAGAATTAGTTAGGAGAGAGAAAAATTAAAACTAAAAGAGAGAGAGAGAGAAAGAGAGAGAAACCACGCTTTTTTTTATTGCTCAAGTAGAGGAGCGTTTTGATTGGTCAAGTAGAGAGGGGCACTTTCGACTTTGCCCATCGAGATGAAGAGTATCATAATAGATAAGAGTACTCCAGATTTCGTAAGAGTATGCTAGATCACTTTTTCCCTCATTAAGAGCATCTCAGCTCTTTACTCGCCTGATTCACGGTTTACTTACGATCAATACCATTAAAACAGAAACATTTTGTTTAATGAATTTTTATATTTTCCAATTATACCCTTATTTTTATGAACGAAATTAATTTTTTATTAATGGCAATTTGGTCATTTTTCTGGGCCTAAAAACTATATACTAATGGATTTCATTAATGGGTTAAATTCTTCTAATTATTTCTGAAGTTTTTTTATAAATTCATCAGCCTTAATTAGTGTAGTTAGATCTCGGAATTTTGATACTAGCCGCGAGTCCCATCTCGTTTGACCCGCCATGTAACGGATCGATCGGTTTGGAAAAAATAAGTTGCGGGTGCAGGTGCGGGTCAAGTTATTTTATGTGGGACGAGTATGAATTGTTCTAATTTCAATTGCGGGTATCCGGTAATCCGCAAAAATAAAATTTTCTTTTTAAGTTTTTTTTCAAAAATATACTAAATTTCCTTAAAAATAATTGTTCTTTTTAAAAAGTATTAAAATTTTAATTAAAAATATACTATTTAATACTCCCTCCATTTCTTTTTATAAGATGTTTTAGAAGGTTTTGTTGTTTCAAAATATAAGATGTTTTGAGATTTTAAGGTATCTTTTGAAGTTTTAAGGTTAACTTTAACTTTATTGGAAAATGTTCAGCCAATAAATTTTTTCCATTTTTTTATAATTGGTTGAATGATTTTAAAAATATATCATTAAAAGTATTTTTAAAAAGAAAATAAATATCTTAAACTCTGTGCAGTCAACCAAAACATCTTATAAAAGAAACAAAGAGAGTATTATCTTTTAGAAAAAAAATAAAAATAATTATTTTTATTAATTAATAATTATCCGCAGATCCCATGGACCGACAAAATTAAGTGGAACGAATACAGATAGAATATATTTTCTTTGCGGGTCAAGTAGATTGAGAGGGGACAAACTTGACCCGTTTCCCAACACCAGACGTAGTTAATTGATATTATTTTCTCATAAAACTACATAATTACATACAATACATTTACTAAGATATTAATGATAACAATAAATTAAAATCTTCATTAATTTTAAAAAGTTATATTAGATAGTGACATTTTATATTATCAAAACAAAAGACTTATCGATCTATCTGTAAATAAGACAATAAAAATACTATATCCGCACTTTTTAAGCGCAGATCAAAGATCTAGTTTGATTTTAATTTACAATTTCGTTTTATGTGCTTTCAATTATCAGAAAACTGTCTTCGGTCTTCATAATTTGCCGAAGCTTTAAGTGGCTTCGGACACTGTAATCTTGTTGACCTCAGTTAATCAATTCATATGTTACAGTCAAATGAGTGACCGAACGCAAAACTAAAAAGAACTGAACATGGGGAGAAGAAGAATGATATACATGAGAGAGAGACTACGAAGATATATTACTACATCACCCCTTACCCTGTTAACAACAAACATATACAGAAGAAAATACAAAATGAGCTTGCCACTGTTTTTATCCAAAGTCCTCACTAACTACAAAAAAGAACCTCCTAAATCTCATTTTGATGTCTCACAACACCATACATACACCACAGAGAACACAATGATTATGAGACGCAACGCTCCAAACGCGTCATCGTGAAACCCTGCAATTACAGTCTTTTGAGTTCTATTGCATTTAACGTTGTGTTTTACTTAATATGTTGTAAGACAAAAGATTACACTGCAAGGAAATATGCGTACCGTGATTTTTATGGGTCTGCTGCGATGTTGGCAAGGCAGGTAATGACATCTCTGCAGATTTGTAACTAAACTGAATCAGACTAAACAAAAATCATTTTTTTTGCAATCTAAAGTTTATACACAGAATAGAACAGGTAAATAGAAAAATGTTTACCAGGAGCACAAAGAGACAAAGAAGACATTGACGATGAAGATGGCCATGGTGCAGCAATATTATCCGTCAGATCACATGTGAAACTGTACCCTGTTGTGTTGTCAAATATCAAGTCTGCTGGATAGCTTCTGAGAAGACAACCTTGTTGCATTCCATATGCTGCTTATCGCCCAAAACCATACCGAGTAAACAGGAAAAAAAAAGAAGATCAGGAGGATTTGAATAAAAGGAAGCTGACAATACACTTCTTGTGGAGTCTACTACCTTGGACACTGAAATCTTTGAGATCGACATCACAAAGCTTATAGATATCTGTCATAACACCACCTTTCCGTAGCATAGAACCGAACACTGTTGCGCACACTATCGCCTGCTTGTTTGTTATCAGCATTTGGTTTCGTATCCCAGAAATGTATGCATTCAACGAGCTACAGCAAGAAGGGCTTGGAGCAGCCACATTACGGCAAGCCTTGACCACTTCACTTGGCTCCTTCATCTCCAAGGGGCAAGCTGTAACCCCACAATGTAAACTCAAAAATCATTTCCTAGGGGTAATATGATACACAGTTCAGTACCTTTGTTAACTTTGCAAGACGATAATATTCTAAACGCTGTGTTTGCTTTGTCTGCCGGAAGCTTCCTGGAGATATACGAAAACACCACATTCTTGCAGTCATTAAGTGCGTTGACGTTGTTTGATCCCCCTAAAGGGATCTTATCACCAACCATGACAAGCGCAGCTTCCATAACCGCACCTTGGCAAATTGGCCTGCAACACTCCTTAAGAGGGTCAACAGTGCGACACGCATCCAGTAATTTACTACTGTTAACAACTTTCTCAAACGTTGTGACATCTTGTACAGAACAAGAACTTCCAGTGAGATTCGAAGACGTTACAGAACAGAGTGCGGGTATTGTCATGTTGGCTCTTTTGCTGACAAGGATACTAACGATATCTGAAAAACAATCTGTGGCAACCGCCTCAGGCAGAACCAACTTATCTGACTTTAGGTTGTGTTGTCCTTGGAAAATATGGAGTAAGCTAACAAACTGTGGACAGCATATCACGTTTCCAACAAGTGCAGCAAAAGGCTGTGAACAATCAGATGCTGCTGTATCTATGATACTTGAGATTGATTGAAAGTCTGTGGGACATTTTCCGGTTAACTTCGGTTCATATGTATCAGGGAAAGTAGGGTACATTGGTGGTGTCCAGGGTAAAGGAGGGGATTCATATTTGGGGATGACGGATGGTGATACTTGAATGGGACCGGATACTCCAATACCGGGTGGATTTGCTAACTCAGAGGTTGTGGACTTGCTACTATGCTTATTAACCTTGTAGTGAGCAGCTACATCTTGGAAGCTTGATAACCAGATAATAAATAACAGGAAGCGATGAACCAAATAACCTGCGATAAGAGAAGCAAGTTAAAGATTAACAAACAACTTTACCAGTCTATGCATAACATAAAATCAATCACAAACCCACGTAATACCGATAAGAGGATTTAGGGATCTAGTTAGAGAAAGAAACTCCTCCTCAAGCAATCAAAACTTTTCTTATTAGGTAAAGATGAAACTTGTGATGGTATTGCTATGGGAAAACATTGCCAACATAAAACTAATAAAATTAATTTGAACAAGTCAATAATTGCGATTAACTTATGGAAACCCAAAACAACTCTCATGATTTTTGTTAGCAGGAGACGAGAATTTGAACCCGAGAAAACAAAAATGAATCATGTTGTGTATATCTACAAGACCACAGCACAAACTAGAGCGCCAACAAAACAGTCTCTAAAGAAGAGCACATAGCCAAATTTTCCCGGGGAGTTATTATAATTAGTTTCATCAAAGACACAATAGGGTAGTACCAAGACTGGTAACAAAAAGAACTCGTCACAACCACCTCCAGAAGAAGCCAACAAAAACAATTAGTAACTTTGAGTGTGTTTGGTGAATTTGTTCTTATTTATAAGCTCTCTAACATCTTGCCAACTACATCACTCTTATCATGGGTCTTTTAAAAGAGTATCATTCCAACTAAATTCTTACTTTAACATGAAGAATTAAAGCCCCCACATAAAAGATTCTATAAATCTTCCACCAAATATATTTGGCATCTATTCTTTTTATTCAAGAGCATACATAGAGAACCGGATCCACCATAAAGCTAGAAATTTTTGTTCTGCCCAGAAAATCAGAGTCAATAAACTAAGAATCAAACTCAGAGATATGCAGGCACACATAAAATTTAACGAATTAGAAGAGTGATTTTCAACACTTAATTACGAGAAAAAACAAGTGAAGATACCTGCGAATTTCACCATCTCCAGAAACTCAAACCATTGTTTTCGTACTGAAAAAATTAGGGTGAGAGCTTGGGAATGAATGAACCACGTCGGTTTCGGAGAGATAAAAATCGATTATGGCGGTGATGATTAGCGTTCGTTCGTTAGAAGACTCTGAGAGATGAAAGAACCACTCACACACAACCCAAAGGTAAAGCAAAACAACTTCTTTACTTTACCTTCCTCTCTCGTTCTTTCTTCACTGTGTTTATTTACCTTTTCTCTTTTTTGTTTAAAAAGAAAAATCAGTCACATAATGTAAAATGTTTAATAATTTGCTCAAAACACTATTCCTTGTCAATAAATATAAAAGCAATTATCATCCCACAGAGTTAATTATGAAAGATAGACCTGCGACGTAAACCAAACCGAACGGTCCGAAACCAAGCCGAACCAAAATTTTCAGTTTTCGGTTCGGTTTCTGTTTTAAGTTCGGTTTAGTTTGGTATGATTCTGAAAAATAATTCGGTTTTCGATTCGGTTCGGTTCGGTTCAGTTTTTGATTTTCGAAAAAAAAATTAAAAAAAAAACTGAAACTAACCAAAAATATCTGAAAAACTGAACCGAATAAAACCGAAAATAACCGAAAATAACCGAAATAACCAAAAATATCCGATTTTTTTTTAAAATTATACCGGAATTAACCGAAAACCAATTAAATCGGTTATTTTCGGAAATAATTTTGAAAACCAAAATTAACCGATAACCGAATCGAATCAAAATTTAATTCGGTTAATTTCAGAATAGATTCAAAATTTTTGGTTAACCGAAAACCGTCGGTTCGGTTCGGTTTCAGAAAATCGAATTCGCAGACCTAGTGAAAGATGCAAACAATCGACCGAAATTTCATTGATGCTGACTCTTAGGAATCCAAGACAAGATAGAAGAGTCCATCATTATCTTTTTTAGTAGATTTTTTTTTGTTGACAACGTTGCTTATGTCCACATTCTCTGTTTGATTTTTCAGGTTGATTATTGTTTATAATATTTTAATAACTCGTATCTATTATCATCTCTACTTTACCTATCTTATCTTTATTTTACTACAAAAAATAGGGCATGATTAGCCTGGATACAATGCGGAGACAGCCATGCAAATTAGTAAAAAGCTACAAATATTACAAACACACAACCTGGTGACAGAACCAACAAGTGTGCGTGAGAAACCGTACATAAACTAATAACCAATTAAGAATACAAAGAATGTTAAGATTTACCATTTAAACCAGAGCTCATTTTAATATTAACCAAAGAAGAACGAACAGTCATCATAATCCAAGAAAGAGTCAGTTAATTAGCCAAGTGGTTTGGGGAGAAGCAACAGCTCTCCCCAAATGTGATAATTCAATCTCGAGAGAACACTGAATAAAATAAAAAGAAAATTATTTTTAAAAATCAGAAAATACGCAAATGACAGAAAAAATTGGGGAAACTTGAAGTATTTACAAGTTATACCAGTGTATTACCCATTCACCCCGACCCGACCTGGATTTATGAACAAATCAATTCAACCGAATTGTGTAACCGTCTAACCATATTAACCAACCGAACCAATCCCTTTAAACCAAACCAAATCTGTCGGTTTTAGCAAACCCTCTCAATTTATTTCCTCTTTATTTATTTTTGATCCAATTTTTCAAAAATAAATCAGTCGAAACCTTTCACTTTCTCCTCATTCTCGAAACCTAGATAAAAATTTAGTTGCTCTCTCAAAATCAACCGTGTGAGAATACAGAGAAAACAATCTGATTGCGATGATGGTCGAAACGAGACGGGGTAAGAGGAAGAAGAATCCAACGAAGGAAGAGTGTCCGAGAGTAAAGTTTGTAAAGACGACGGAGAAAAGTGAAACGAGGGCGGTGGATGTCTCGACGGTGAAGACGATGGATGTCTCGACGGTGAATATGATGGATGTCTCGATGGAGAATATGGTGGATGTCTCGAAAGAGAAGACAAGAAAGGAATCGACGGATAATACAGCGGAGATGACGGAGCCGAGTAATGTGGTTGCAGAAGCTGCTCCGACGAGACTGGACAAAGGTCCTGCTCGCCCATCTCCTCCAGGTCCTCCCGCAAATCCGGTGATTGGGACCGCCTCTGGAGATGAAAAGAATGAGAAAACCACTTCTGAAGATGAAGATAATGAGGAATCCGATTATGGAGATGAAGAGAATGATGGACACGCTTCTGAAGATGAAGAGAATGATGGACACGCCTCTGGAGATGAAAGTCGTTTCTGGAAATGAAGAGAATCATGAAGAGGATGAGAAAACCGGTTGTGGAGATGAATAGAATGATGAGTACGCTTCTGGAGATGAAGAGAAAGAGAAAGTTGCTTCTGGAGATGAAGAGAAAGTGGGTTCTGAAGATGAAGAAGAAGAGGAAGCAAGTGGAGGAGGGGAATCAAACGACAATAGGCCTGGGCATTCGGGTAGTCGGGTCGGGTTCGGGTCGGGTCCTTTCGGGTCCGGGTCTTTCGGGTCTAGGAGTTTAGGACCCGGCTTCGGTTCGGTTCGGGTCGTACCGGGTCCGGGTCGGGTCTTAGATAGTTGGACCCATTCGGGTAATTAGAATTTATCGGTTCGGATTCGGTTCGGTTTCGGGTCGGGTTCGGTTCGGGTTCGACCTAAAAAATACCTAAATATATAAAAAAAAAATCTGAAAATACTTATATATCCGAAAATATTCAAAATTTTATTCAAAATTTGTGTTTTTATTATATTAAAATGTGTATATATATTAAACTATGCGAGATACAACAACAATTCGTTGTCTCCTAGTGGTTGACCCCCTTACTCTCTATAGAAACAACCCGTCGTCGACTCCCCCTCAATGCATTTTATTTAATTTACACTATTAATTCGGGTACCCATCGGGTTTCGGGTTCGGTCCGGGTCGGGTCCAAGACCCGCGGGTCCTCCACAACAAGACCCGATAGGGTAATTTGATCGGGTCGGTTCCTACCCGGACCGGGTTTTTTCGGGTCGGTTTCGGGTCGGGTCTTCGGGTCCGGGTAAAATGCCCAGGCCTAAACGACAATGAGAATCCACCTGAACCTCAGGTAACAAATTATTCTTAAGTTTGAATTTAAGTTGTACGATATGATTAGGGAGAGCTAGTAAATCGAGTGTGTTAATGTTAGTAATACTACGATAATTATAGGAACACTGTCAGTTTTGGTACAACATAGAAAAACTGAGATTTTGTAAACGGATCTGTGGTGTTTTTTAAGATATTTTAGTATAACTTGGATATAATTTGGTATAACTTTCAGGATTTGAACGGAAATGAGGCACCCGAGGCAATCAAACCAACCAGCATGTTCTTCAATCCATCTGAGTACAAGAAAAAATAAAGCTAGGGACAAGGTGTATTATAGCTAGCGCTATTAAGACGCTAAGTAATCTGAAACCCAAGCTGTCTAACGCAGAGTGAAGCTGGTTCACGGAGCATCCTCAATTCTCACACATTTTCCACATAAAAGAGAGAAAAACCACATAGTTCAGGGAATGTGGATGTTGTTGCTGCGTACTGTTGGTAGCGAGAGGCGGAGAAAAGTGTGGTTCATTGTGAATAGGGTTCCCATCCGTTTTGGGCTGAGGGAACACGCTTTGATATCTGGGCTATTTCGCCACAACTATCCTCTCGGCTACAAAGAGCTTGGTGAGACGAAGTTCGTTGATAGAAATTTCAAGGAAGGAGAACTTAGAAGGTTGGAGGATGTTAAGAAGAAGCTGGTGGACATGGGACCCCACAAGGACAGACTGAAGATGGTGGTTCTATTCTTCTTAGCTTCTGTTGTTTGCGCGCAGACGAAGGCTGGACACAAGGCTAATGATGTGTTGGATGTGTTCCAGAGAGCAGTGGATGATCTTGAGTACTGCAAGTCATTTCCATGGGGGAGATTCTCCTTTGATTACATGCTGAAGGAGATCTCTCACACAATGGACCATTTTGGAGGGGTTATGAAAGAGAAAACATTATGGCCGCTTCCAGGTTTCTGCGTTCCACTAGAGGTATGCAAAATCCTATCAATGAGTTGATTGTTATTGTTATTTACTGATGGTATTACAAAAATGTTGTGTTTAACAGCTTCTTGCATTCAAGGCAATTCTTAAGCTAGGAATGGCGTTCAGAGAACCTGTTGAAGGAGCTAATGTCAACTGCCCGAGGATGTGCAAGTCCTCCTTCAAACGAAATGGAATGACAAGGTTTTCACTTTCTGTGATAAACAAGGAATTGTGTAAAATAAATGTAAATTTTCATGGGAACTAAAGTGTAACTAGAGTAAAACTGTGGTAGAACTAGGGTAGGTTTGAAGTAAAACTAGAGTAGAACTATGATAGAACTAACGTATGACTGTTTTGTTATGCATGGTAGAGAGGATATTGAAAGCATCATCCCCACCAAAAATGCACAAGAAAAAAGGCTCTTGGATACCATTATGGAAGACAAAGAAGATGTAGATGATTATGATTTAGCTGTGGACAGTTGGGAGAAGTGTATGGATGCAGGCTGTAAGGTCTATGGATATTTCGTTTGGTGAGGTAGAACTGTTTTTTTGGTGTTTTTATGAAGTAGTCTTTGGATGTTTCTTATTTGTGATGTGGATTTAGAACTTTTAACTATGTTTTGACTATATATGGTAGAACGTTGCTTTTATTTTTGTTGTGTAGTTTGAGTGACTGATTGTTAGCAATAATGCTTGATGATCATTTACTAGGGAATTAGTTTATTAGAATTTTAATCCTCAACATAGTATCAATGGATAACATAATGTAGATAGAAAGGTTTACGAGTGTTTAACATAACATAAGTTTGAGCATAACATAAGATAAGATTCAAGAGTAACTCCCTTGAATCATAAGATAAGAATGAAGACATAAACTTATAGAAGTCTTAACAAACAAAGACTTGTATCAACCGAAATAATAAAAATAGACAAAGTTTTAAGCACTCGCACATCTCATGACTCATGTAGTGGAGGAGGTGGAGGTAATAAGCCTCTTAAGCATAGCAATTTCTTCAGCCATATCAGCCACCTCCCTCTTTAGGTGCTCAACTTCTTCCTGAACACCGAAAGCCCATGGCTGACGAAAGTGCATCCCATCGTCCTGCACAGTTTTACTCAGAGTATAACTTAGTTTCACCCAAAGTGTAATCCAGTTCTAACTAACTATTAAAAAGTTTCAAACAGTATATCTCAGTTTCACTTAGTTTTTCAACGAAAACAAATAATTCGCCACCACATCGGCAACGAAATTACCTCATAGTTCTTCCAGGTGA